TCTTGAGTGGGTTAATTTTATTTTTCAAATCTTAATTGGGGTGCAATCACATCTCACGTAGACATTAAATATTGATGTCAATGAGATGGTTATCTTTCATTTCCAGGAAATACATTGTCTAATCAAGTTATGGTTGCGAAATTTTAAAGTATATGTCACTTGAATATGATTTGAAAGACGACGATTTATTTTCAATTTTACAACCATGACTAGAAGACATGTAAGAAACGTCAAAATTATCATTCACGCTGGATTTGAATGTAAAGTCTCGTAAGAGGACTAATGGAGTGACTAAATTTTAAGTAAATTAAAGTTCAGTGATCTAATTAAGATAAATTAAGGTTGAGCGGTTTGATTGAGATCTCTTTGAAAGCTTAGTTACCAATAATGAAATTATCATTTCCTGAACTATTAGAAAACTTAGATTGTTCTTTGAGAACTCGACTGTTTAGAACTTTTTGAAAGACGAGTAAGAAGTGGTTACAATTAATGTTAAATAATTTTTTCTAAAATTAAATATTATAATTATTAAAAGTACTTTTTGAAACAAATTTGGAACAAAATTGAAAGACTTCAAGAAAGCTTAAAAAAAACTTTTGATTAAAATATTCAAAAATTTTATTTTAAAGATAAATTTAATTTTTTTGTTACGACAAGTAAGAAGTGGTTACAATTAATGTTAAATAAATTTTTCTAAAATTAAATATTAGAATTATTAAAAGTAGTTTTTATCAAAATGATACATGATATTGGTAGCGTTGGCTTGATTGTGGATATTCCCGATAAGTGATGAGGAATGGAAAAACTAGTCTCTTGAAGAGCGCGGTGGAAAACTAGAGATAGGTAAATTTCAACACCCAAGACCTGTAGCAAGTCAACTTCTCATAATATTGAAGGGAAAATTGAAGTGAAGGTCTCTAACTTATTGAATTAGTGGAAACAGATCCCAACTTTTTTAGTTTCAATTAACATTAAAACTCAAAATTCAATAAGACTTGTACGTCCTGATTCAGAAGCAGAAAATCTATTGGAGTGAGTCATCAAGACTTATATCTCCTTATGCACAATTCGATGTGATTTTGTTTATTTATTTTATTTTAAGAAAATAAGAGACATGTAGGAAGGAATATTAAGATGTATATAAAACTCATCGACGACCAATTTTAAGCTCTTATGAGTCAACTTGAATATTTTTTTTTGTGAATGACTAGGACAGATTGATTGGTATGTTTGTGAATCATATGATCAACGGTAAGTCAGGAACTCAAAAGTAGATAACACAAAGCTACCAATCTATTTGGGGAGAGAAATAGAAAGGAAATACGGAGACATGGATTCATTTCAATGCGGCCAAGGATGTTACGATTTGAGTCAATGCTTTGAGAAATATATTCAAAACAAATTGGAATCCCCAATGCCATGGATTGGCATGTATATTGCAGCAGCTTCTGTAGTCTGCTCCCTTGCAATGGCAGCTGATGCATTCCATGGTTTTCGTAGTAAAATGCTGTGGTTCCCATGTAAGTACTTCTCTTTCAATGCCATGTCTTTGACACTATTAGCTGTAACATTGAAACTACCAGTGGAACTTACTGCTAATACGTATGGGATTCATGAAGCCTGTGCAAGGATTAGTAGCCACGTTT